TTAGATTTGTTCTTTCTTTTCTATTTTTTTTCTTTCCATTGTGTACTTTCTTTTGGACTGAGTATTTTTTATGATTCTGTTTTTTTTTTTCTCCTCTAGTTGAATATTAATCATACCTGTCTGTTTGCTTTGAGTTATTTCTCTAAGGCATTGTTTTCCAAACTGCATTCCTTGCATCCATATCACCTGGGAATTGTTAGAAAAGAAAATTCTTGAGCCCTATTCAAGATCTGCTGAATCTAAAGCTCTAAGGATGGGGCTCAGCTATCAGTGTTCTATAAAGTTGCTCAGATGATTTTGATAAAGCTGAAATTTGAGAAACATTGTTTTAGGTTTACAGTATGCATCATCTCATCACAGTATATTTCATATAATGTTACACCACTGCATGTACTTCCAGTATCCCTGCATCTTTTTGGCTTTTGTTCTTATTCATGTTACTTCCAAATTAGCTTTAAACTTCAAAATGTATTGCTAATGCTTTTGTTTTAAACAGCAATCGTACTTTAAAGAGATAAAAATTAGACAAAATATACATTCTATTTATTCACTGATTCACCACTCACCATTTTGGTCCTCTTAATTTGGGGGTTGGATGCAGTAGATACAAATTTCCTTTTGATTATATTCTCCATTCTGAATAATTCCCTTCAATATATTTTATAGTGCTGTTTGGCTGGCAATAAATTATCTCACCTCTTGTTTGAAAATTTGTATTCCATCTTCACTTTTGAAAGTAATTTTTGTTTGGTATCGAATTTGCTTGGTATAGAGCTGTCTGGCAGTAGTAGTGTGGTGCTGGGTGGCTGATGCCACAGTGGTCATCACTGCTGTACCTCAGACGACTCCCTGTGGCTCATGTGTGATCAGATGAATAGTGTGATGGCAAGGCTTAGCCAAAGAATACCTCCAAATTTCATTTGTGAGGTTGGAAGCTCTACCTGAAGTATCTAAAAAAGTATGAAATTATTTCTGTTTTTCAAGAATCCTGAAAAAAAAAAATTACTGATTAGATGGTGCACATGCACCAGAATTGAGCAAAAATGTTCAGAGACATACATCCGTGGGCACCTTCCCACCCATCATGAGCATCCAAAGAAGACCTCAACCTTCACCTAAAGAAATGAACTCATGCTGCTACCTGCATTATGTTATGAAAGGGACTCTGCAGGAACCTCACTGTGGTTTCAGCAAGACGATGGTGGAAATTGTCAACAAACACAATATTCAGTTTAGGAGTTTTGGTATCTTCTCAGATGAAGTTGTTCATTAGGGCCTCCACACCTATTTCAATTGACCCCCCTCTATGCAGCTCTATGTTTTGGCGAGCTCATAGGAGGACTTAACATAGTTAAGAAGCCGGAAGCATCTGAAGAACTAGATACAATTTGCCCCAAAGCTCCCAAAGTAGAGGCAAAGCTCACAGTCCTGACAAATAAAGCTTCTGTGCTGCTCCATGCAAGGAAACATACGGGAAGCTAAATGTGTATTCAGCAAACAAATTCAATAGAACTGGTGTTGAAAACATGTCATTTGATATACTGGAGGATGAAGAAGTTCCCAAGGATTGAAAACATACTCTAATTGCCTAACCTACCCTCAGCTGTATGTGAAAGGGGAGCTTGGAGGGCTGAACATGGTTAAAGACCTGAAAGGAAATGGTGAATTGATGCTGCCATTGAAAGAACAAAATAAATGTAAAATGTGGTACCCAACTAGTGCAGGGAATAGTTACAGTGGAATAGCATATGAGTCAATCCTCAGACATGGATGAGGAGGAGAAAAGCCTTCTTCCCCAGACTGGCTCTGTGTACCCCAAAGGTTGTGCTAAATAATTGTATGCTATGTTTTGTTCCACCAAAAATAGAATGTATTAAACATCTTCAAATTCAATTTAAAAAAAAAAAAGAATTCACTTGGTATCCTATAGGTGACATTTTATTTTGTCTTTCAGCATTTGATAGCACTTCATTGCCTTCTGACTTGCATAGTTTGTGAAAAGTTGTTCATCTTTCATCTTTTGCTAATTATTTATAATGTGTCTTTTTCCCCCTCCAGCTGCTTTTATAATTTTCTCTTTGTCATTGGCTTTCATAGTTTTACTATAAGTTGCCTTATGTGGTTTTCTATTTGTGTATTCTCCTTGGGGGTTCATTAAATTCTTATTCTTGAGTCAGTGTATTTGTTTTAATTCAATTTGGAAACATTTTTATCAGTTACTCCTTAAATGTTTTGGTTTTTTTCCTTTTTCCCTTCTGTCATCTGTCATTGTTGGAACTATAGTTACATATAGTTTAGACTAGTAGATATTGTTCCATAGGTCACTGAAGCTTTGTGGATTTATTTATTTATTTGTCTGTTGTCGTCATTTTTTAAATATTTCTTTCTCTGTATGTTTCCATGTTGATAGTTTCTAGTGCCCTCTGCATGCTTACATATGTTTTTTTCTTCAGTGTCTAGTCTTCTGTTAACCCATGGTATATGTATCATTTTAAATACTGCCTTTAATCATTGCAATTTCCATGTAGGCCTTTAAAAACCTTTTATTTCTCTTCTCATTATGTTGATTTTTTGTCTTTAAACATATGAAGCATGATTCCCATCATTGTTTCAATGGCCATGTCTGATAACTCCATCATTTCTATCATTCTGGGCCTTTTTCTATTGACCTACCTTTCTCCTTGTATTAGTTTGCTAGGGTTTCCATAGCAATATCCTGATGACTAAATGGATTAAATAGTAGAAATTTATCTTCTCACAGTTCTGGGGGCTGGGAGTCTCAGATCAAAATGCCAGCAGGGTTGATTTCCTATGAGACCTCCCTCTTTCTTCCTCCCTCCTTGGCTTACAGATGACCATCCTCTTATTGCCTCTTTACATAGACTTTTTTCCTATGCATGTCTCTTTGTATATCCATATTTTCTCTTCTTATAAAGACACTAGTCAAGTTGGGTAGGGTCTATTCTAATAGCCTCGTTTTAACTTAATCACATGTATAAAAGTCCTATCTCCAAATATAGCTACATTCTGAGGTACTATAAGTTAGAGATTCAACATATGAATTGGAGTGGGACACAATTCAGCCCCTAACACTCCTAGTTATAGTTGATAATTTCTTGCTTTATACATTCCTTATAATTTTTGATGGAATGCTGCACACTATGAAGTTTAGATGTCAAATACCAAATTTTGAGTTATTCTTTTATATATTGTTGGATTTGTGTTTGGCAGAATGTTTTGTTACTTGGGTTAAGTTTTTCAAGGATTGCTTTTGAGCTTTGTTAGTTTAGGTCTAGAGCAGCCTGCAATCAAAGGCTGCTTTTACCAATATCCATTCAACCTTTTTAACAAATAAAGTGGTACCTTTCTAAAGCACTCACTACCCATTGCCCATGTATTATATATAAATCTTTCTATTCTGGCTGTGGGAATATGAATTATTCTCCAGCTTATGTAAACTCTGGATTGTGCTTGACATACTGCTCCCTGATAGTTCTTTACTGAGATTCATGTGATTTCTAAAAAATATATATTTTATTGATTTTTGACGGAGAGGAAGGGAGAGTCCTGCACACCTCCTACTGGGGATGTGCCTGCAACCAAGTTACATGCCCTTGACCAGAATCAAACCTGGGATCTTTCAGTCCACAGGCCGACGCTCTATCCACCGAGCCAAACCGGTTTTGGCTCATGTGATTTTTTTTTTTTCCCTCAGACAAGAGAAAATCAGTATTGAACCCAACATTTAAAGATACTCCTCTATAGATCTCCAGAGCTTCTTTCTGTAGATATCTCGTCCCTTCCATATTCTGCTCTAAATTCTAGCTACTTTGGCCTGAACAAATGTTGTTTGTCTCCTGAACTCAGTGAGACCATTAACCAGTGTTGCAGCCAGTAGCTTACCTCCAGGCAATAAGCAGAGACTGTTTCTGGATCCCATAGTTTCCTCTTTCTCAGGGTTCACTGTTCTCTTCTGCCTATTGTCCAGTTTCTGCAAATACTTGTTTCATGTATCTTTTTTTTCTAGGTTTTTAATGCTGGAGGAAAAATCTAGCCCCCATTACTCAGTCATAACTGCAGGGAAAGTTTTATTTTCATAGTTCTTTGATTTATTTTTTCAAGATGAAAAGTTATAATAAAATCATTTTTCAGTATTTGATATAAAGTTTTTGTACCCTTTTAAATGAGTTCACTGTCTTTTTTTTTAGCACCAATTATTTTCAGACAGTGAGGACATACTGTATTTGTCTAGTTATATGAATTGTTAACCATGTCTTAGGAAGAATTCCTGCAAGCCATCAAATATGGAAGAAGATTATTGTGAAATGTTTGTCATTTTCTGGGATTTATTTAGACTATTTATTAGGGATGTGTATAATTTATCTACTAAAATTTTATGTTAGCAAATAAAACCTGCTTGGCATTTGTTATAATTATTGCAGTGCATAATTGAAAAAGAAAATGTATCCAGATTAATGAGGTTTTTTTTTTATTTCAATGAGGATATAAATCAGTAACTTAAAATTATCCTTTCAAATCAGTAATGCCTTTTCTTTCTCTTCTCAAATTCATCACTGCCCATGCAAATTTATGGAACCTTTAGGAAAAATATATATAAAACAACTATAAGAGAACATTGACATGATCTGGTGTGGCTAAACATTTATCAACTGCTGCTGTTGGTGTAGTTTCTGTCCTTAAGAGGCATGCAATGAAAAGGTTAAGGCAGACTGCTCACTCTCTGATAATAAGCAAATATGTGCTCAGATTTACATTCTTTGAATTATCCTGAATTCTAGAATGGAAAGCATGTAGTAAATAAAATATCTTCCAGGTGATCATCTACATCTGAAAATAACTTAAAAAAAATTGTTTTTAGTAAGCCCAGCAGCAGGAAATTAACTTTGTTAATACCTTACACATGCTCATAAAGCATACTTCTTGTTACGTTCTGCCAAATTTTCCACCTGATTTTCCATTTTCTCCCTCTTCCTTCCCAGGAAAACAGTCGGTGTGTTTTGCTGTGGACCCCGATCAATTTCTAAGACTCTCCGTAAACTGAGTAACCAAAACAACTCTTATGGGACAAGATTTGAATACAATAAAGAATCTTTCAGCTGAAAACCTGGGATTTAAAGAAGGAATGAGTGCAATTGCTAACACTTTGAAATTCAAACAGCTATCCTCTGCCAAAGAGTAGCAAGGCTTTCTTATTTATGATTACTTAACATGGAAATGCAGAAAATGAGGCAAGATGACAGGTCACAGTACACCAAAGAGGCCCTGAAGAATATCTGATGCGATGATTCACTTTTCAAGGCTAGAATTAAAACTAATATTAGATGCCCACTGTTGATTTTTATGGCAGATTCAAGGACTCCCTAGTGAGGAGCTACGCTTTCTCACTGTGAGGCTGATAGCCCTGGTCCTCTTTAAATTGTTTTTGGTTGAACAAATGGAAGATTGAAGAAAATTAAAAAATTCATTCAAACTCAAATTACATTTTCCACCTAAGAATAACAGAGTAGCTTTGATTTAGAAAACCTCCAGGCAAATATATTAGATGTTTAAAGATATAGCATAAACTCTCTATTGATACGGGTATTTTGTGTCAATATCTAATTTTCCTCACTACTGAGCTAATACCTCTACTTGATGTCTTTAGACTTTATGCTGAATGAATCTTTTACAGATGTTGTATCTATTTTTATATTCCCCCCTTCTGTCTAGGGAAATCTTCCCTCCCTTGGCATGCATTAGGCATAATTATTTAATCAGTCATATTTACCCTCAATTTATTTAATCAATTACTGCTGCATAGTAATGAGGAAATATTATTACTATAAATTATAAAGGGATATAGATCTAATAAGTTTTTTTTTCACTTTTCAGCATTATGATCTTTTATTTTTCATTACTTCCTCCCCAAGTATAGTTTGTCTTAGTTTCCAATTTCTTTTTAAAAATACATTTTTATTGACTTTTAGAGAGAGATGCATAGAAAGATAGAAACATTGGTGAGAGAGGAACATCATCATCCATTGGCTGCCACCTGCATGGCCCTTACTGGGGACCAAGCCTGCAACCTGGGTATATTGCCATGACCAGGAATAGAACTGGCAACCCTTTGGTTCTTGAGTTGATGCTCAACCGCTGAGCCACACCCGCCAGGCTTCAGCCTCTTAAGGTACTTTGTTTATTTGCACTTTGAAACCAAAGGGCATGATGTCTGTCAGTGGTCACTGAGATAGATACAAGATCTCTCTCTTGTCACACATTGGTTATGTTGAAGATATTTAAAGTATAGTCAAATCCCTAATAGGAAATCTGTATTTTACTTCCTACACAAGATGAAATATTTCATTAGTTATTCAAATTCAAGTTCAAAATCCAACAATATTATTGCTGCACCACCTGCTTTCCTGGTCTCCCTAGGGAATTATTGAGTTTAAAGTCATTGTTAGGTTTACTCTGTGTGATCCTATCAGTCAGGTTCCCTGGCCATTATATTCCCTCACAGGAAGACTCACTTCACTACCTTAAGAATGAAGGCATTTTTACAGTTTAGTGATTTTTGTTTTGTCAACCTTTATCAGTTGCTATCAAATATAGCACATTGCTGAAATCAGCAGCATAACTTCTCTTGCCTTTGTTAAATTTTTGCATGATGTAATGTAAGTTGATAGATGCTACTGTCATTTTTTTTTTTGTTTTTGCTCTGATCTAAATAACAATCAAGCATGTTGTATCATTCAGCATTGGATTTCCATAAACATGTTACTCACAGATATTTCTTCCTCTCCTTGGAATTCTTTCTTCTCCCTTCTGTGGAAGGTGAGACAGAAAAAGACATGGGAAATGTGCAATGTTCCTGCAGATTTAGCTCTGAAGACACAGTTAATAAATAGTGGATCTTGGCAACACTTTCTAAGTTAAAAATTATTTTCATGAAAACACAGAACAGAAAGAACCAGTAAAAATAAATTTAGTACAGGCTTGATGTGCAATACTGACTCTTTACTGATCGTAATTTATTGATATAATTAATACACCTAATTAGGTGATTATATTAATACACCTAATTTCACTAAAACATGTGGAAGATTTTTCAAAGAAAAAATAATCTTTTGGAGTGAGTAGGTCTGCTATTCTAGATGAGCCTTTTTGCCTATTTTAAATTCCAGGTGATGTTCAAATGTTGTGTTAACTTAGGTAATTTTTTGCTTCTGTAGACAGGAATGCCTGTAGAAGAGAGTTATTTATGTTTTGTTTTGAGGGAGCTTTTCTCTCTAGCTAATTATTCTCACACAGGTCTTAAAATAGTAATTTTAGTGGCAATAAATGTTAAAATTGAAATGGTATTCACAAAATCTCTATAAATTTATCTTCCCAACAAATAAAGGAGGCAAAGTTTACTCACTAAATAATTCAAGTTTCAGAAACATCATCTATTTGAGTGCGAATCAGCACGAACAGTCTTAGGGATTTGTGTTCTGGGGCTTGCGATGTCACTGGCTAATGGTGTGACTGTGGCAAATCACTTCTCACTCTAGGACTTCTCATTTGGACTAGATCAGTAGTCAATCTTTTTTTAGATTATCTTTTTGAGGCCCTGATTAAAAAGAAATATTCTGACAAACAATACAAAATATACATACAATCTTGGGGCCCACAGTCTCCAAAAGCCAGGACCCCTGTCTAGAAACCTCTGAACAAAAGTAACATTATAGGTATTTTAAAACTCTACCTTTGTTTTCTTTTCTTTTCTTTCCATTTTTTTTTTTTAAGTAACTATCGATTTTTATGGACTATACTAAGAAATTAACTCTGTGGGCAGAGAATCCAATAGAATTTTTAAAAATATGTTTTTATTTATTTCAGAGAAGAAGGGAGAGAGAGAGAGATAGAAACATCAATACTGAGAAAGAATCATCGATTGGCTGCCTCCTGCATACCCTCCTTCCCTACTGGGGATGGAGCTCCTAGCCCTCCCTGACCATGGAATTGAACTGGGACTCCTGGTTCCTGGGTCTATGCTCCATCATTGAGCAACACTTTTGGGCTCTGCCATTGCTATTTCATCTTCTTGGGTCTCTTGCTTTATGCAAGGTAAGGCTTTGATTTTACATATGAATATTAATAATAATAATAAAATAAAATAAATTTATATGCACACATTAATGTGGACCTTAGTTTTTTAATTTTTAATTTTTTAAATTTCAGGTTAAACATAAAGGATTGATAGTTTTTTCATGTCATGACTTTAAATGCTAATTGGGTGACTGTGATTATACAAGCTCTTAAAACAAAGAAATAAAAGCAGTGTAGACAAAGCATAGTCTGAATTGATTTACTCCATATACCCATGCTATTTATAATTCTCCCTTTACCCCCAGAAAAAAAGCAAAACAAAACAAAACAAAAAACACACTAGTCTTTACTTGGAGCATTCAAAGCAAGTAATTGATTTAAATTATAAGGCATTGTTAAAGATGCTGGCTAACACAACTGGGCCACCATCGTCATCAATAGATGATGCTGATGCTAAAGTATGTTCATTATATTGAAAAGAAAAACAAATAATAGGTAAGTTTTATTTTTGTTAAGGGTGGTTAACTCAGCCAAACAGTGATTTTTTCTAACAGGCCAGTAAGACACATTTTCAATGGCTACACCTGGCAAAAGTTCCCTTTTCTTATGCTGTCTGGAACACTTGCATATCCAGTTAAATTATAGAAACATAAATGCTGAAATTAGGGGGACTGTTATTTTGTAGTTGATGAAACTAAGGCCCAAAGGAAGATGGTAACTTGCTTCAAGCCATCCACTGAGCTTGTCACCGAGCTACTTGGAGCTCAGCTTTCCTAGTCTCTGCCACTGAAAGGCTCTTTTTCCTGTCCTATGGAATGTACATCTGTTTAGACACCTGTAGTTCTGTTAGCTTGAATCTCCCTGTAAACTCTAGTGCTAGCTGGAAAATAAGGTAGTGAGTGTTAATTCCAGATTCATAGCAGAAAATCACACTCTTCTTCCCAATGTATCTTCTGATTCTAAATTCATTAGTCATATATTCTGCCTACTACCAATAAAATCTATTTTCCTATATTAGTTTTAAAACATGACAGTTGTGCTAAAAAGATTTTGTTCTTTGGGTCTCTGTTTTGGAAATTTGTAATAGTATATAGTTTCTAGGAAAAGTTAATATTGTCATTTTTAAATTGACGTTCATAGGCAAAAGTCATAACTTCACCAGCTTTCTAATCCCCCCAGGGAACTGTTGTTATTAAAACAGATGACTGTTGTTCTCTACTCACATGACCATACCATGCTTCTTATTCAGGAGAAAAGAACCATCTTTTTGTAAACTAGTGAGACAGGAAATAAATGATGCCAAGCATAATGAGTTCTGCATTTACTTCAACCCCCGGACAGTGAGAATTCATTGACTCCTTCTGTCTCAATCTCCCCTCCATTACCCCAGCAGCTTTCTCCCATTCTGCAGTATTCTCAGAAGACAGAGTTGCAAGGCTAGCTAGATGAAGTTTTCCAAAGAAAAGACGCAGCAGAATTTTGATACTTAGCAAAGGGTCCATTAAGAGAACTAAAAAAAGGCCATGTGAATGAATTGAGATTAGCAGAGTTGCTTTATAATAGAGACAAGTATTTTTTTTAATGTGAACATACAGATTTTTATTGTTCCTTACACAAAACTTTAATTTTTGTTTATAGAATCTAAACGTAGATTTCTACATACATTTCACACTATAGCAAAATCACTCCTAATCTTAATGCAGAGAATGAAAATACAACGTAAGAACTGGTAAAGATAAGAAATGCCTCCTAGGGGCAAAACTGGGAGGGAAAAAGGGAAGCCCGAGACAGAAAAATTATTTTAATACGTCAGAACATGATAAGGCTTTTCTTTTCGTAATTTAATTGGTGACAAGACTGGCTATTCCTCTGGCTTGGGGAAATGTAAAACAACGTGGCATTCGGTTTGTTATTAGAGAGCCTCTCACGTTTTCTTCGCCGCTAGAATTGCAGCAGAAGCTTTCATCAGAATTGCAATCTTCTTTGAGAAGTTGAGCTTTGATGAGCTGCTGGTTGACCTAGAGGCAGCGCGACCTTCAGATGAGAAGCAGCACCTACATAACCGCTCTAATATATGTGGCAATAAAGGAGCGGAGGCTGCCGCGCATCGATTCCGCTGCACACGCCACCCATGAGCAGTCGTGGCAAGGTCAGATTTTCCCAGCTCTTCTCTGTCCACCCAGGCGATGAAACCTTCTTAATAATGCAGACACTGAGAAACAGATATTCTCTCTTGCATCATAACAGGGTATCTGTTCATCTGTATCAGCACATTCATGTGAGCCTCGTTATCAATTTAGGATGACTGTATATTTTATTTTAGTGGTGAGAAATCTCCACAATGCATCAAACGAGAGTCTGGCTTGCTTGCTAAAAAATATATGGCAGCTAACACATTGGCCAGGGAGACAGCAGTTAAATCTTACAGGTTTTCGTCTCCAACTAAGCCCTAAAGGAATGTAAAATACCTTGCTGCACATACATTGGAATGTGACCTGGGTTGCACACCTTGCTCTGTGTTTTGACGTGTTGCATAGTTAATTCTCCAGAGTCGCAGGGACTCTCCGGTTCAGGAAAATACCAGCTCTTGAGTCAGTGTGGCATCTTTAACCACATAACTGGGTGCCCAGCAGATGGAATTACGTTTATTAATCTGCTTACCAGTGGCCAGGGCGGGAAACTGTCTTTATTTTCTTCTCTGTGCCATAACATTTGGTTAAAATTCAGAGTTGGGAAGTGGAAATCACTTTGAAATGTGGGAATGGTTGGTGGCAGATTACCAGTGTCATCCTTTTATCCCGCTGCTTCCAGTGTGTGACGTGAACAGGTTCCCGGGTTGGAGATCAGACTTACAGCCTTCACCCCTGCAAAGCATTAGACCACGTGCATAAAAAGGGGAATGCCATCCAGCTCTGCCTAACTCACATGGAGGTGGTAGGGCAAGAATGTGCAGGACAGGAGGAAAAGGGTGATGAAGAAAGGGAAGTTTCCTTTGTAAAATAGAGTGCAAATCTTAAGTGGGTTGAAAACACCATAAAAGTAAAAAAGTTACGTAAAAGTAAAAACACAGGTATTTATGAGTCACCGTCCTTTGTTAAGTAATGGAGTTAGGATTTCATTGTTTTCTGAGCACATAGAGAAGCGCCCACAAGCAGATCAGCACCACTGCTTTGTTCTGAGATTCTGATAAACAAAGTTTGCCTGTGCTGTCTGATGTAACTGCCTTCTGAATTCCTCTTAAACTGGTTTTGGTCAGGCCCAATGTGGCTAGAGATAGCTATATTGATCTGTGAGAATTGGGCTAGGAATCGCTGAGAAGCAATATAATTTACCCTGCTTATTTAGTGTGATGGAGTAAAAAAGCAGCTGTTTATGAGACATCCTACTGAGTTAAGACAAAGGCCTATATTGTAGAACTAGAAATAATTATAGAAAAGACAAAAGCACTGCATGGAAGCTATTTTTTCCTAGATTGGAAAAAAAAGAAAAGAAAAGAAATTCATATTTTTCTTACTGTTGCCAAAGATCCTTTCCATTGTGTATTTTTATCCAAGCTCACATTATTTTGTAGATATTTATGTTTAAATTACGAGTGTGTGTAGGAGAACAAGAGAGGGAGACTGAGAGAGCGCAGAAGTGTGTTTACGGTGGATTGTGAGAAAAATTGCCTGAATGAAAAAGACATGTGAAACGACCCTTTCCAACATTCATACTAAGCATGGAACCATGGCAGGTTTGCAATTGGCAGACCTGTGATCCTCCATCGCAATGGGAGACGCCCGGCCACCCAGGGGTGCAGCTGATTCCTGTGTGGCTGGGCGGAATTGGGAATGCACACCATGTGGAAGAGGAAGCCGGAGCTCAGGTTCAGAACTTGTGAAGAATTAGAAAAAAGTACATTTATTTTTATATGTAATTTTATTGTTGTAAGGCATACTTTGTAGAAAGCCTTCCTTTTTTTTTTAGCTCCCAGCACAGTGTTTAAAAGCTAAACAAATACAGGTTGGACAAATATACTTAAAATGTCCTTTTTTGTAAACTAATGGTGCACCTTTGGCCATCCTAATCAAGAATTTTCTCCTTGATTAGCATGGGTTTGGGGAATGAATGTGTTGTTGTTTTGCTTGTTTTTTTGAATTGCTGTTGTTTTGATTGTAATGAAAGACTAAATGATCACACTAGACTTTTATGTGAAGACATTAAACACATTTTTTTAATGTTATTTTGAAAAATTTTGAAAGTCTAAATTCCAAGCATGTCAACATTCATAATTTTTATCTGTATTTATTATTGGGAATTAAGTAATTCTAATCTTTAAATTTAATACACTGAATTTGGGGCTTTGGTTTGGTTTTTGGAATTCTCAAAATTCATAATTGTGTCTATTAAAAAAAAATCAAAATATTTGTATAGTTTTATGATGTCCAATTATACATATTTTCTACACAGAAGATTAATAAAATACAATATATTCATTATGAAGTCCAAATTTGAGTTTTTATACTCGATCATTAAAGGTTTTACTTTTATCTAAACATTAAATTTATTATAAACTAGAGACCCAGTGCACAAAATTCCTGCATGGGGTGAGGGGGTCCCCTCAGCCCCGCCTGCACCCTCTCCAATCTGGGATTCCCAGATTGGGCCGAAATCCGCAGTCAGGCAATCCAGGACCTGTGGCTCCTAACTTCTCACCTGATTGCCTGCCTGATTGCCCTAACTGCCCTCCTTCCCCCCCATCCCCCCGTCAGCCTGATCACCCCTAACTACCTCTGCTTGCCAGTCTGATCACCCCTAACTGCCCCCTACCCTGCCAGCCTGATCACCCCTTAGTGCCCCCCCTGTTGGCCTGGTCGCCACATGCAGCTTTCTGGTCAGTCGTTTGTTTGTCCCTCACTAACCCCACTACTGGCCTGGTCGCCCCCAACTGCTCCCCCACTCCCCTGCTGGCATGATCGCCCCTAACTCCCCCTCCCACCCCGCCAGCCTGGTTGCCCCACGCAGCCAAAAAATAATAATAGTAGACCAACTATTTTGTCTGACATTTACATAGGTGGGATATGAGCAATTTTTTTATGTTCTGTCATAAAGATCTGGGTTTTAGTAACATCTGAAAACTATGATTTTCTCATTAGAAAAATATAGACCAGCCCAGCTGGTGTGGCTCCATGGGGTGAACAGCGTTCCATGGACCAGGAGGTCCCAGGTTCAATTTCCAGTCAGGACACATGCCCAGGTTGTGGCTCTGTCTCCAGTAAGGGGTGTGCAGGAGGCAGTCAATTCTCATTGATGTTTCTATCTCTCAATCCCTTTTCCTTCCTTTATGAAAGAAATACAAATGTATTTTTTTTTAAAAAAGAAAAATTTATAGATGGGAATTTTCTCAAAGGTCATTCCACTTTGTGTTTTTGTGTTGGCCGTAAACCTATAATTTGATAGTGAACAGGATGAATACAAATGCTTCAGCATACATGATTGTGGTCCCTTTTAGTTCTTAAGATAAACCTAATAAGGTATACAAAATTGAAAAGCCTTCTTGCCTCAGCAGGATGAAAAGGTATTTGCTTTAGAGTAAAAGACATTGTGGCATTGTTTCTAAATCTATGTTCTTTATATTATTGTAGCTTATTACTTATTGTTTTCGCTAATCTAAAAATCATTCATAGGTCAAATCAGATGCCACAGTGCTTTAATTTATAGAGCTTTTAGAAGTGGGGACTTGCTGATAGGGTTTAAGCAGGTTACTTCACTATCTGGTTCTGCATTGCTCTCAATCAATTCCTACCACACTGCAGTCCTTCAAGTGATTTATTTTCAAAGAATCTGCTTTCCTGAGATGGTGTCTTATCTCCTGTAGTTTGCAAAGCTGCCGTGCGTTCTCTAATGGACATTTCAACAGGTCAAGTTCAAATGCATTTGAAAGACAATATTAACAGTTATGAGCTTGCATTTATTTCCTCTGTGCATTATTTGCTTTGTGTCACGGTGGGGTCCTGAGTGAACACTTTAATAGCATTAGGGTTGTAAAAAGACTCTGCAGCAGCAGCCAGTGTGGGAAGAACACAAAAGATAATTGGGAAAAATGTTTTGGGGGGTTGCACACATCAAGGACAATATATCAATCTGAAGATTCAGAGTTCCTCTAATTCATATTGATTACCCTGCTGTCAGGAATGCTTTCCGCAGCTCAAAAATATGAGAATGTGTGACAGTAAAAGTTCCTCATCAGACATTTTATTGGGCAATGAAACCTGCAAAGAAATCTTTTTAAATGGCTTGTGTTGCAGAGGCCCTCTTTGCAGCTTGTGATAAATGTGTCATCAACTGGGAGATGTAAACAAACACCAAGCCCTAGCCAGTTTGGTTCAGTGGATAGAGCGTTGGCTTGCGGACTGAAGGGTCCCAGATTCAATCCTGGTCAAGGGCACATGCCTGGGTTGCAGGCTCCAGGGCTAACACAGGAGGCAACCAATCAATGTTTCTCATCGAAATTTCTCTCTATCTTTCCCTTTCTCTCCCACTTTCTAAAAATCAATAGAAAAATACCCTCA